ATTCATCCATTTGATTTAGGTGTATTGGACCAAGGACACATCCCTGCAGGACGCCTGACATTGAGGACTGGAATTAGAGATTCCTACTTTAGAGAATTTGTGGTTCACATCAGTTCTGTCAGGAGGAATGGATCAGACTTCCAGAAAACTACTGTAACAGCCTTATGGAAGAAAACTCAAAACATTTAACCCAAGTCTGAGGAAATCTATTTCCTCTGATTACTATGGAATTTAGGAAATAGAAACAGTTTTAATAAGTCTGACTGAGAAGTTTGGTCTGACTTAACTTCAGACAGAGATAAAAACAAACGTGTACATCTTTTTTTCAGTGAATGTACACTTCTATTGTCTAACCAGACACATATACATGTGAAAAACGTAACCTTATCATTTACACTGGTGAAATGAATGACAGATCACATAATTTGGAGTTAGTTAGATGAACTTAGTAATTTCAGCTCTGGATGTATTTGTCTATATGCCTCCACATGTAATTTCATAACAACTGTTTCTATTTCATCTTCTGTTTTATACTTGTAAACAAATAGCTTCGTATGTATGAATAAGTCAGATGACTTAGTCAACTTAATGACTGGAACTGTTCATGCTCATGAATGTTCTCAGGAAGTTCAAAGAACACTTGGATCCTTTAAAAACTGAGAAGGTTCTGTATGTGCTGCAGAAAGATGTCATGTTACATTGAGTTTCTAGATAAAAAGTTGGTTTAAGTTAAATGGACACTTTCATGTGTACACCAAACTGAACAAGTGGATTATTTTCCTAAGATGTCCCTTTGTAAAACTTTTCAGATTTTATGATCGGGCAGCTGTGGGTCAGTAGGAAGATACAAGTTGACTGTCTTGTAGGCAGAAATTCAGGGTTCAGTTCCAGCCTCTTTTACTGCTTTAAAGAGCCCATAAGCAAGGCAATTAACTCCAATTTGGCTCCCAATCAGTGTCTGAAATTGGATGCTGTGTAAAAGTGTTATAGTTGGTCCATATGAAGCGAATAAGACATGTAAGTTCAAACCATTTCACAAGAAACTATTGGATCTCAATTGCATATTATTCATTTTAATTGTCCTGCTCAGAGGTGAACCTCTGCTTTAGTCTCAAGTCATTTGCATCATCTAACTGGTTTTCTTATTGTCTTGCATTTCGCTCCATCCATCGCCTCATCAACTCTGACCAGCTTCAATATCCCAGCTGTCGAAGAGCATCCCCTCTGCGTGACTCTCCCAACACAATGTTTCTTTATTTAGGCCAAAAACACAGTTGACTCAACCAAAACATCTCTGATAGCACCATTTTGTTGTGCACCCTATATGGCTTGTGGCAACAATTGTTTTCTTATTATCACATTTATATAAAGTGCACATTTGTCCTTTCAGTTTCACAGATTCTACGTGAGATTTGGAGATGAATTCCTCCAGAAGTCTATCGTCGACTTCTCTGTCAAAAGAAATCCCAGTGAAGTATATTGATACAGAAATGTATTCCAAATATATCTTTTCAAAAATCGCATATTTTGGTTATTTGGATACGTTATCCCCAAATCGTTTTTCAATCGGGATTGGATTGTTCTGCACATTTTCCTATTTGAAAATGTGATATTTGGTTTTTGACCCAAGCAAAACAGGACTATTTGACATATTTTACCAAATTTTGTATTTTTGATGTTTAATGTGGGATATACCAGTGATTTATTATAACATACATCGAAACAACAAAACAGCTCTGGATTTCCAACAAAACCATTTAAGTTAAATGGCTGACATCTCCATCTAGTGGACATGCACATATAGTGTTGAACAGCATTTCAGGTTTAGACAGCAACAGAAATCATTCCTGTAAGAAATGTAAATGCAGTTACAAAAATATCAACAGCTGTGTACATAGCCATAAACCCTGCATTACAACCTCAGAGCAATGTACGTACACCCTTTTTGTTCTTGTTCTTTTAATCAGGACGTTTTCTAAACCAGATGGATCTTTTTGGTTTTTGTTGAAGAGGTTTTGGCGAACCCTGGAGGATGACCAGAGGAAGTTTAATTTCTGCATCTCTCAGCAAGGGGACACCAAGAGTGATCTGTAGAGCACAGAATAATAAAAATAAAAGATTGTACATTATGAACCCAGGAAAAAAAATGACAACACCTGGATAACTGACCTATTTAACACTAGCACATGCCTCAGTGAGCAATTGTATTCTAAGAGCTCACATGCAAATCTATTTGAGTGGATGGCAAGATGGAACAGGTTGAGCTGTAATACGAAACGCCTCCCTCGATGAGCCATGAGGCTTCTAACCCCTCCTCCTCCTCGCTGTCTTTCCCATCATGCAGTCAGTTTCTGGAGCTCTTTTCATGATTCGATTCAAGCACTTAAAAATGTTTAGTTTGCAAAATAAATGAAAACATTAAGCAACAGTATTGATTTCTGAAAACAGCAGCCCTCTTATTTCATGTATAGTTCTGAAATTGCAGAATAATATCAATAAACTCTCGTGTGAGACAGCTGTCCGAATTCATTATGTAACAACCATAGATACCTTGATTCTGTACTCCAGATTCATCATGCTGCAGTTGAAGAAGGTGGCGGGAAGGTGTGGAGGGATGATCAATAATTTGGTTACAGTGTGAATGCCCTCAGCTGGAACAGCGTCTCCTATCTCGAACAAGACGTCCTTTGTTTGCACTTTCTTCCTTGAATGGGCCACAAAGGTTAGCTTCTCACACAGGTAGAACTTTGGCGTTACAGAGTGTGCAGAGGCATTGAGTACCTCCACGAAGACTCCCATTGCCTCTCCTACAGTTTCACATTCAAACAGATGTAAAAAACAAAACATTTTAGAAATAGACACTGAAGTAATATATTTCTGAAGATCATACACAAAGAAATCAGCATAAGTAAATCTGGGGAATTAAATGTGGAATTAAATTTGAAAAAAAAAGCAATTAAAATCATCTGAATAAATCGTTTTAGTACAACAGAGCTTGAAAATAATGGGGTGTGGGTTCTTGTGAGCTGTCTGATGCTTAGTTCTTCCCAAAGATTTTTTTTTTAAATTGAATTTCAGTCAGGCCCTTCTCTCAGTTCATCCTTCCTTCAAAAATATGAACTTTACAAGTGCTGTGCTTGAAGGAAGCCCCACACCATAATGATTTTACCTCCGAGAATCCATCTTGGCGTGCTGCTTAGTGGGTAACGTGAAATGCCATGTCCTATACGTGTGTGCAGTGACACTGAAAAAGTTAAATTTTAATCTCATCAATATATTCTGTTCTTCCTTTGTTTCACTGGGTTTTCTAAATGCCCTGTGTCAATGTTTGAACTGCCTTTGTGCTTTTTCTTCAGCAGTGAAGTCTTGTGTGCTTAGCAAGAATGCAGGTAATGGCGCTCAACACCATTACCTCAATTAATGGTGGTAATGGTGCTCAATTGCCACCATTTATAATGTTCAGAGAATTTGACAGACAATCCGTCTGTCAAATTGTCTGACAATTTACTTGTGAACATTGTAAGATGCTTATTATATCTTACCTTGGAGCAAACTATTTAAGAATTACTACTGATGTTTTCCAAACACAAATTTAACTGGTTTTCTTCCTTTTTCTTCTCTTTTTCAGCCTTTTCTTGTTAAGTTGTTCAGTGTTTATTTGTTTTGATTTCTTTGTAAGTGTGGATGCTTACTTTCTGAGGTGCCTGTGTGAAATCTACTTACCTTGCTTTAAGCCCATTTTTTCAGAGGTCACATTCATGGTAACCTTCCCTGAGCCACAAAATGAAATCCTGGTTGCATGCTGTTGCTCCTATCAAATCAACACAAACACGTTCAGAGAAAATAATCTCAGACTTTCAGATCTTCTTTCAGATGAAGTGGAAAACAAGGAAATCAAAAATAATTTCTCACCTTCAGCCCAATGATTATCATTTCTGATTTGGAGGCAAAAGGAAACTCAGAGCTGGTTAGAAAGGGAAACTCAGTCTTGGTTTTGTGCACAAGCCAAATTGATTGAGTCAAATGAGCTCGCAAACTATATGTGATCTCACCACATTTGCTTCTATAAGATGAGGGCATGTCTCTGTAAGGGCGGAACCCAAAGATAACATTACTTTCTAATCCAAGTTTCTTACATGCAGCTGAAAGTCAGTTTATATCTGGGAATAACTCATACCTGCTTGGAATCACAAAGCTGAATGGAAAAACATTAATCCCAGCACCCATGATTTCTGAACCTTAAAAGAGAAATAATGTTACACTAAATGGGAATTCACCAAATTATTTTAACATAAAAAATAAAAAAAATCTCAGAAAATAAATTACAAAACATACCATCTCCCTTGTTTTTGTCCTGAAGAATTATATGCTCAAAATAGAAGTATTTCTTCTTGTTGCTGCGGAAGATGGAGTTTTGTCCTTCTTGTTCGTACCAACTCACCTTAGTCTTTCCCTTAGCTCGGACCAAAAAGCTCTGCACTTTGATATCCTTGGTGGTTACCACGGTTACTTTTCCAGAAAGAACGTCCCCTGGGGAGTAGGTGCCTTGGTCCTTCACTCTGTCATACTCCACTGAGAAATGCTTCACAGTCATGATAGGACGACATCAATACAGTAAATGCTGTGATAAAAGATCTATGCGCTTAAATACATTCTCCCTGACAGCTGAAACTGAGTTAAAATTAGGATGATGACCTCTCTTTGATAAATAGGGATGCTGGCGTTACTGGAACAGTGGACTGCAGTGCAGAATGGGTAACTGTGTCTGAACAGGTCACGTAATCAATCCTGCAGGTGTCCTTTTCACAGAGGTAACTCTAGCCAGGATGGCGACGGCTGCATCAGATTAAGTGAATATGCAAAGGGATGATGTTTTGCATGTGTGCAAGTTTATGTTTGTCCTAGCAAGAATCAGTCGGTACAATGAATCAGTTAATAGTAAATCACTTTATATATTCTGTAGTTATTGTAAACAAAAAGGTGGAGAAAAAAAATCAAAGTTTAAAGATTCAAAAATTACAACTTTTAGTTTATTAACAGTACATTTGAAACAACACAAATTGGACCAAAGTGCAGTTTAACGAAATATACATTATTCAGCCTATATAGAGTTAGTTATAACAAGTGAAATCAATAAAACTGGGGATCAAAAGGGATCAAATAAAATTAAAATGTAAACAAATATGAGCATAGTATGTTTAAATTGAGGTAAAAGGTTACTTGAATCAAATAGTAGCCTAAAGAGGTCACTTTTGAGAGATGCTAAAATGATGAATGATGATGCTATAGAGGCCAGTATTTTACCGTTCTTTTAAAAAATGGTAAACTACTGGCAGCTATAGACAGCAGAAGTTTACCGTTCTTTCACAGTATCCATACCGTACGTGCATTGACGGTAATTTACTGTCAGGATTAATTACGGTACAGCTACTGTGCATTTACAGTAAACTTCTGGCGTCTATAGCTGCCAGTATGTTACTGTAAATTTAGAGGATTATTTCTTAGAGTGTGGTCTCCCTGGCTGTGTACATTTCTAGCCCATCACAGAGCCTTTCATGAACATTACATTACATACTTTAGACATTTCTTTAAAAAGAAAACCTTGTGAATTCATATTAAAGTCGCCTGCAGTAGCTGTTGTGTTCTCTAAAGGAAATAATCTCAGTCATGTTTTCTTTGGCTCAGTCGTGCAGCAAATTTGTCAAGTTGTGCTGTAGACAACACAGGCACTGATGAGGTTGGAAAAAACTGCTGCTGGTGTGTCATACAAAAACCATAACATTCCCATTTAAAGGAAGTCTTAAAATCTGAGTTCTTTAAACTCCAAAAGGAAAAGAAGGGTACATTGCATATTCTTCATAGGGAGGTGGAAGACCCATTGGTTGTGACATCCAGGCTGGCTGATTTGGACGTCCAGAAGGATTCTCCTCCGATAGCTCAGGTATGATGACAATGGGGAGTTTGACCACTAAGTCTGCCTCACATGTGATTTCTAGATATACCTGGGAGGAAAGAAACAATAAATAGTCCCTTCTTTTCAGCAAGATGTTATACACACACACCCCACACACGCATATATGTGCTTTTTAAGTTATGCTTGGATGGTCAGTCCTACCATCTAGTCATGTCTTAGACTGGACTGTGTAAACACATAATCTACAAAAAACAACAAGTCTGTCCCACAGGTGAAGCTTACCTTTAATCTGTACTCTAGCTTGATGATGGAGCAGTTCAAGATGGATGGGGAAAGCTCTCGAGGGATGGTGATCTCCTTTATTACCGTTGTTTTGCCAGAGAATGATTCGACTGCATCTGCCTTTTCCTTCAGTATCTCATGTTTCTGAATTTTACTTCGGTGTATGCCAAAGTAGATCTTCTTCTCGTCAAGTACAAACTTAGGTTTGACCAAACGACTTGAGAGATTCTCAATTTCAAGCCGGACCCGGAGGGCCTCACCTGTACAATGAAGAGACATAGTCAGCTTCCAGCATCACACACCAAGACAATATCATACAAATATCATTTAAGGCCAAAATGGATTGAACAAGGGGACAAGTAACAGGTTAGAACATATCTTTCATAGCTGAGCATGCTTTTGGAGCAAAGAACACACTAGACACGATTACTTTAAATTGTATGGTTCTTGTATTAACAAAGAATATGTTCAGTCCCTTTTACTCTTTTTCCTCTAAGTAAACTCCAGAGCAAAGTATGCATACATTTGTACTATTTGAAATATTCCAACGTTGTTTTTACTACAACAGACTCTGTAAATCTTCAAACCCCAGCAATATAAGACAGAGCATAAGGTCTACTGAAGAACTAATTGTGCTTGTAAGTCAGCATGTTCACTTTCACAAACCAGATACTTGCCTTGTTTGTATCCTCTCTGCCTTGTGTGGACGGTCATTGAAACCTTTCCAGAGCCAAGAACAATGTTTTTGCTCATGCTTCCATGTTGACGGGCCTAAAATGGCATCACATCGTTGTGACTTACATAAATGTTGTTTGTTTTCTATCTCTTAATTCGCTAAAGTGTGACAATTTTTTTTAACAGTTCTTTCTTTCTCACCAAAAGTCCTGATACGGATGGTTTGCACACAAATGTGAAGTGAGTTTCAGCTTTTTTTGTCAGCTTCATCGATTGCTTCAGCTCTGCCTTCAACGTATGAACAATTTGACCAAAGACTGAGCAGAAAGATGAAGGTATTTTTCGGCTAAAGAAAATATATATATATATATATATATATATATATATATATATATATATATATATATAAAAAAAAAAAAAAAAAAAAAAATATACGTAAAAAAAAGAAAAAAAAAAAAAAAATAAA